TCGTTCACCGAACGGTTCGCAACCGAACATGTTCGTTCACCGAACGGTTCGCAACCGAACATGTTCGTTCACCGAACGGTTTGTTACCCAACATGTTCGTAGACCCAACGGTTTGTTACACAACATGTTCGGTCGCCAAACGGTACGCAACCGAACATGTTCGTTCACCGAACCGTTCGCAACCGAACATGTTCGTTCACCGAACGGTTTGTTACCCAACATGTTCGTAGACCCAACGGTTTGTTACACAACATGTTCGGTCGCCGAACGGTACGCAACCGAACATGTTCGGTCACCGAACGGTTCGCAACCGAACATGTTCGCTAACCGAAAGGTTCGCAACCGAACATGTTCGTTCACCGCACGGTTTGTTACCGAACATGTTCGCTCACCCAAAGGTTCGCAGCCGAACATGTTCGCTCACCGAACGGTTCGCAACCGAACATGTTCGCTAACCGAACATGTTCGGTCACCGAACGGTTCGCAACCGAACATGTTCGCTCACCGAAAGGTTCGCAGCCGAACATGTTCGCTCACCAAACGGTTCGCAACCGAACATCTTCGCTCACCGAAAGGTTCGCAACCGAACATCTTCGCCACACGAAAGGTTCGCAACCGAACATGTTCGTTCACCGAACGGTTTGTTACCGAACATGTTCGGTCACCGAAAGGTTCGCAACCGAACATCTTAGCTCAACGAAAGGTTCGCAACCGAACATGTTCGGTCACCGAACGGTTTGTTACCCAACATGTTCGTTCACCGAGCGGTTTGTTACCCAACATGTTCGTTCACCGAACGGCACGCAACCGAACATGTTCGCAACCGAACATGTTCGCAACCGAACATGTTCGGTCCCCGAACGGTTCGCAATCGAACACGTTCGATCACCAAACGGTTGGTTACCGAACGGTTTGTTAGCATATGGACAAAAATATAAGAAAAATACACAACACAATCAAGATATAAATAACGACATGAAGGCATCAGTTATCAATGCAACGACAACTCTTCCTCAAGCACAACGCCAGCAACAAATTACTCGGTCACAATATGTCCAACCTATTTCCTTTCAACAATTAAAGAGAGCTGTATGAAGTAATTTACCATGCTTTTTGATAGAATTTGACCCATCTGTAGATCGTAAAGAAATTCCATCTGATATTACAGCGGCTAGTTTATTAGAACAATATTTCTCTTCTATGAACTATAATATTACATTTTCTCTTGTTGGTCTTGCTGGTTATAAATTAAAAGTGGGCGTTAATAATAAAGAAAATTATGCTAATTTAATGTCAGCAAATATGTGGCCAGATAAAGTTGGAAATGTGGGTATTCCGGTTATCAAGCCATCGTATATACCAGATGCTTTTGGTATTGTGGTTCGTTTTGCGGATGAACAATATGATGATGAATTTGTAAAAAGTGAAATAGAGCGAAATTTTCAATCAGCCGAAAATATAAGAAAAATTAACTATGCATTTCAACGTCGTAATAACGATTATCGTTTTAATGTTAAAGATTTACGAGAATATAATTCTGCTTTACAACGTGGTCGTTTCTCTATCGGGAATAATTTATGCTCCATAACACCATTTAAAACTGGAAATCGAATGACATTCTGTCCAAAATGCTGGTGTCTAAGCCATTTTCAAGATAAATGTCAAGCTAATGCGCGTTGTCGCTTATGCTTGGAAGAATTAGTTAGTGGTCAAACACGTTCATGTTCCTCGGGATCAAATTGTGCTCAATGTAATGAAGATCACCATTCTCCTGATGGTAGATGTGAAAAAATAAAAGAATATCATGCTGAACTAAAGCAGGAAGTGAACAAAGCTCTAGCTGATGGCAGATTATATAGAATTGAACCTTTTGAGAGTCCAAATGCTGCATTTCAATATCAACAGAATCAATTTCCTCCTCTACAACCAGCCGTTAATTCTCATCCAGCTCCTTGGTTCCAGCCTGCTGGATCTTCAACTGTTCCTATTCCTGCTATCGGTATTACTACTAATAATTCTGCATCGGATTTAAGTAAAACTCTCTTATCGATTAATGAAAATTTAGTGGCTATGAGAAATAGTAGTAACCGTATTGTCTATAAATATAAAAACGATTATCTTATGTTTGCTAGAGGAGAAACGTCTACGATTTATTTTTATTTGATACATTTTTTTGACCGTTACCCACAAAAATCAATCAACCAATAATTTTTCAGCATTCGACCACTACACACATGCATATAAATTGTCTCTAAATGTTACTTTTTGTTTTCCGTTATCATTTCACTAAAAATCTTCGTTCAGTGCTAAAAAGCACACAAATCTAATGTCGAAGAATGAAAGAGCTCAAAGTACGATAACTGGATTTTTTTTGACTGACACTGTACGTGTATTTGTTAAATTCATATACATTGCTAAAAAATAAGTGATAATAATATCGGCAAAAACACGGCGGATAGAAAACAAAAACTAACATATCAATAATATAAAGGGAAAAGGCAAAATTCTAGCAGAAATACATGGAGCGTTTCTTATAAGAATCTTATAAGATTCTAGTAAGATATTGATAAGAATCTGGTAAGAACAACATAAGAAAGCGGACAAATTCTTATCAAATTTTTATGAACTTCTTACATGACTCTTATAAGACTCTTACCTGATTCTTATGACATTTGTGCCACTTCTTATGTAAGATTCTTACCTGAATTTCAAAAAAATCTTTGAATAGGGGTGAACAAAGTCTGTGATCAACAATTGCTATTTATGGATTAGCACGTGGCTATGAAACTAAATAAAATACGAAAATACTCGCTGCTAAAATCTCATAAATCAAGGAGAGTGTGCTTATAGTCATTAATAGTCAACAACGAGAGCAAGGGAAAACTATCTATAATCGAATGACTTGTATGCTGAACATTTTTTGAGAATAAGCCATACTATAGTGGATGTATACATCTAATATTAGGATAAAAAATATGTTAGAATTTACTTTCTGTAAGTCAATTGACTACTGAAGCGTAGTCATTTGAACATGAGACAAGTGTTGTTGTTTTTTTATTCTTAATTCTTATTACTAGAAAAGTAATCACGTGTCATTTTATTATTCGAATCTCAGGATTTTCTTGCTAAATTGGCTTCTAGGTCTCTCCGAGCAGCGCATTCTTATATGGTCGACATACCCTTCACTCCTTTCGAAACTGTCCAGTCATCCTTCTTTTGGAGGACTGCAAAAGACTGGAATACTAAAGATCCAGAAAAAGTCGTTTCCATCAATTCTCTCAAAACCTTTAAAAAGGCTTTAAACGAACATCTTCATCTTCAGTCGTTCTCTGTTTTCAAATCTTTGTTTTTCATCATTTGTAAGCAAGATGAGTGTAAGTTAGCGGAGGAACAACAGTGTGACAGCGTAAAGTATAACTTATATGTAATGCACTCATCTTGCCTCAA